TATCCAACCAAATCAAGGGAAGAAAGAGATCGTTCAACTAAATATGTCACGTATTTTGAAATGTAAAAAATGTACACACCATGGTCATTTTTAGATTTCCCTTCACACCAATATTACCACTTAAAGTCCACACACCATGTTATAACTCATTTGTATCTAATTTAGCCAAGTCTTATTCAACACACGGACAAGATGCACCACTGCATGGCTCTCTGGAGAACATGTTCCACACTGGCCTCTTTTGGCCACTTTGAGAACTGCACTGTGCATATCTCCACACAGGACACGGGGGAAAATAAAGCAGCAGAGAGATGGACAGTGCGATGTACAGGCAGTCAAACAAACAACAGCAGGCATTCTCTCTTATAGATTTACTGTGATATGGCCTCACTGCAATGTCAGCACATTTACTCAGCTTTGACTACCAGCATCAAATCAATTTTTCTGAACCTCTCTCTTGCAGGATATAAAAAGATATGTTTGTGCAAGGTCTGCCGTCAGCACTAAAGTCAAAGCTGTTTTTTTTTTGTTTTTTTTCTCATCGTTATTGATGCAGCATCGCAGTGTGCGGCTTCCACTTCCTCCCCAGTCTGAAGTGATCCGACCAGTATGTCATGAGCCGAAGATTATAGCAGAGAGCCACCCGCACGACGGCTGCTGTGCCTCTGCTGAGTGATAATCAGGGCAAGTTGTGTTGGAGGCAAAAGCTTCCTATCGGGACTTGGACCTCTACCTGGCAGCGTAAGCCCCTGTAGTGTTGGCAGGTTGATAAATGGCCTAGCTGGGAATAAAAAAGTCACAAGCAAATTCAACACAGGCAGAGCTGGAATGGGCTTTCTGCTCCGTGGGACATTTTAGTTTTTTTTTGCTTTGTCTAACATCAGAAAGTATTTTCAGAGAAGGCTCAATGTTATAAAGGTCGGGGATAGTGGCAAAGTATAGTCAAAATTGTGTCTTAAATGTATTTGTTTATCATTGCAGTGGAAATAGTGTGCGATGCATATTGATGTACTGATTGAAATGTCTTCCTCTTTGGTTTTTTTCCCGTTTAGTTTAGCCTGTATTTGAAATGAGCCATGCACAGACTCAATACTGCAGAAAGTGAAAGTGGAAAATGCTAACCTCCAAGCTCAATGAAGCTCAAAAGGGAAGTGCTCATGGACAAAGTTGTGCTCCTATTCACTGGCTCTTATTGGCTTATATTGATAGGTAAACTCTTCAAGCTCAGTGACCGTTTGTGTCACGGCCTCCATTTTGGACCATAAAATATAAGTGATTTAGAACTCTCTATGATCTTGTACTTTAAGTTGATTTTCTATTTGTAAATACAGATATGAGCCATAAGGATTGACCAATCAGATGCCTTCATACCCGGGGTGGAAACTCCAGCTTGCATTAGCCCCTGTTATGGCACGATGCTGATACCCTCCAAACAAATGCGCTAGTTTAGGTTCAAATCGGCTTCGTTTGCATTTTGCTTACTTCAAAAATACAGTCCATAGCTCAAAGAAAGATAAATTCTAAACCAGATTTAACCCCCCCCCCCCCCCCATCTAACCCCCCATCTAAAGCATACTTTTTGGAACAAATATATGCTTTATTGACATAAAGCAAGATACAATGTTGTCAACAGTGTTCTTTTTTGCTTATACACTGAAGGAACTACTCTGAAGGGTTAATTACCTGAAAGCAAAAGTGCGTTGGCTAGACTTCTCTTGATATGTTTTGCACTAGAAAAATGTTTGTGTGTCGACGACTCTCGCTCGTGTTCAATTACAATGTTGCACTTCGAACTAAATTTGTTACCCCTGCTTTCATGAAGCAATGCTGGGTACTGCTTTGCTCCGTCCTTCGCCAATATTTTTGTAGGCAAATGCAAAGGATTTCAGTGGCCGCTGTATGCATTCTCCCGGAACTGTGCAGCTTGTGTCACCTGTTTCCACCCAGACCACAGCAACAACAAGGGCCTAAACCGCAACATATACTTAATTTCACAGTTTGCTTTAAGGTATATATGAGAGGTATCTAATTTTAGGAAAAAAACGCCCTCTCCACTTTATGAACAAAACTCTCTGGTCTTATTTGATGTGAATGATTCACATAATTTGTGATCTTGACCCTGTTTGGTTAAGAAAAAAAATGGGTTCAAGTCTCTCTTGATGTAACTTTTTAAGGTAATGTATATATATTTTTTCTTTTATAACATTAAATCCTTTGACTATGAAAATAAATCTCTTTTTCCTTACTTTGTCCATATTTCAAAAGTCGTCACCTATATTTTTTAGACGTTCATAAGCTGCAAGTGTTTGGTTCTCAGATCTCATGACTAGAGAGGAAATAGAAATGTGTCTGAGAAAAAGAAAAAAGAACATCATCAGATGATCATGGAGAAAACTCCAAAGGAACAACTACAAAAAAGCAGAATATTTTGAGGTCACTGTAAAATGTATAAATAATGTATAAATAATGTTTAAAGAATATATACAAAAAACATGGTTATTCATGTCTTGTTTTTGTTAAATCTTTTTACACATGTAATAAGGCAAATTACACAAAACCAACAAAACTGTAGTTTTTTTGGGCCTGTCATTCATATAAAATGACACACGCAATCCTGTTTGGAAATCACTCCAGTGGCCGCTGTGCCACATGGGTGCGGGTATGGCCCTGGCCATAATAAGGCTAATAACCTTTAGCTAATTACTCTTTCTCCACATCTTAGCATCAGATCATAGAGTCACCGTGAGCTCATTAGGGGAGAGGGCGATGATATCCAATTAGGCTCCGGTCTCGTCTCAAAACATGTCACTGACCTAGTTTCCGTTCACCTGGTGTGCTCCCTGGATTCAAGTGAGACGTCATATATTCACCAAAAACACGATTTGTATGAATAGTGTAAAACAAGTACAAACAAACTGGTTTTAGTCTTTGGTCCCAGGCGGTAAAAAGAAATTTGTACAATAATTAGTCGGTCCAGCCCGAAATGGCCAATTTAAATGTGTGTCATCAGCAACTTAACCAAGTCATTTAATTCAAAGGATTCACTCAGTTGACCATCACACTTAATACTCTATGGTCTTTGAGCATCCTAATGCCAAACTAATTACTTCAACTGCTTAGAACTTTATTTTAATGAGCCAAATGGACAATCAGAGATAGGGACAAACTTTCCAAAAAAATTTTTTTAATTAATTCAAACAGAAATAGTCTAAGATGTCTCTCTTTAAGCTAATTCTGGCATATTTACATGTATAATGTATTTTTATATTAATCAATTAATTAATAAAAATGGATGTCCAAAGAAAGAAGGAACATACAAAATAATTCATCAATCAACCATCATTTTTTATTGGAATCAAAATAATGGTTATGAACCACAGAAACCACCAACACTAGGAAAAACGATTTGATAAAAGAGAAATATGGGATTACTTAAGGGAAATTGTTCTTCTTTTCCGCATACATATGCGTTTAACCAATTGCTTTAATATTTAATTGTGCTTTTAATTACTTAATTTTCATGCAAATAAACTAATTAAAATATTACATGACCAAAACAGGTATCAGACACCAGTACAAGGTCTAGGAGAAATACAAAGGAGTATTGGTCATTTTAAGGACCCGATTGCCGCCATTTTGAAAATGGGGTCTTTTTTGGAGTCAAACTTTGGTAAACTTATGTTTTTAAGTACATCTGATACTACTGTAAACCACTGAGAAAGCTTTTGTTTGAATTTTTTTTGGGGTGAAGCCATATTTGCAGCTGACTATATCCATATCTTGATATTGACATGCTGCAGGAATTTGATGTGAATTATATATTTGTTTTTTCAATATTCCATGAATATGTTCCATGTACATTCAAACCTTTCAATATGCAAAATGTTTAACTTGAAACTTGTTAATACAATCTTAATATAATCATATATGAGGATCATATTTTTATTTCTGTTTAAGGGTATTTAAGAATTGCATTTCAAAGATGAGTGAACTTGATTTGTGATTTGTGATGAATACATGAATTTGATTTGTGACTAGTTAACTGCTGGAAATTTCATGGAGAACTTTTAAGTATGATCAGGTGCACTATAGTGAACCTAAAACCAGTAAAGTAGTGCCCAAGTAGCTGGAACAAAAATTGATATCTAGCCAACTATTTGGACTCAGCTGACGACCTACCTGTGCTCGGCCAAGTTTAGACGGGGACACTGCGAAGATGCTGCAAAGTAATTATCAAAAACGACCAGGCTCCTTATTTGAAGTGAACGGCTTCTAAACAATGACGGAAGACAATGTAGTTCTAGTGCCCGGCCAGTAGGGGAGGTGGAACTTTACAAGACGTTGCTTGCGACCCTCACCATTATAAGGAAAAAAGCAGAAACCTTAATAACACTCAAACCTAACTAATATTTCAGCAGTGGTCAGCTGTGGCTACCAAGTGCATTTGATGAAACTCACTCGCATAATAAACTTGACAGATTTTTTTTTATATATATATTTTTATTTTTTATCCCCCCCCATAATTATTCCATTTATTATAATTTTCAGTTCAACAAAGCTAAAAGCATATCTTAAAAATTGGCATTCTTAGGGTAAATGGCTTTGTTTGAGCCTTGTTTTTCCCAATTGATGAATATATTTTTGAGTCGTTAAGATGCCTTCCCCTCATTACAATTTTTTTTTTTCAGTTCTTGAAAGCTCAAGGCATATCTTAAAAAATCTGTATTTTTCACGATACACCATACGACATTTGAATATGACATCATGCCATGTGATACTTAAATGGGCCTTGTTTTTCCCAATTTCATTTTCAAAGTTCAATTTTTTTAATTTTTATCTTTTGTCAATTTTCATGGTTTTTTTCATGCTTGTTGTTTTTTGTATTCATTTTGATTCTTGATCCCTGCCCTATTTGATTTTCTTCTTCTTCTTTTTTTTTTTCAGTCATTTTTCTGTGGCCTCTATAAGGGAAGGTGCTCTCAGGCAGGAGTGATGTGCTTTTAGGATGCTGATCTGATGTATGCTCTCAGAGGACCAGGTGACACTCTGTTCTTCCTGATCCTGAACATCTTAAACACTCGAGAGAAGAAACGTCTTGGTCCTCGGCCTCTGTCCTCGTCAATGAAGTCTTCCAGCTGGAAATTCAGATGTCTCACCGCTGCATTGAGGAAATACTCACTCCAGAGCAGGGGTGAGGTGAAGGGTCCCAGCTCTTCCCGGAGACTTCTAGTCGTCTCCTTAGCTATGGCTTTGAGGTCTTTGGTCTTCAAGTCTGTTCCTTGGGGCATGGAGACTCTTTGCTCCACCTCACGCAGTTGCAAAATAACTCTTCCTTGTTCCATAATGTCTAGGAACACGGGGGATTTGTTCAAGAAATGTTGGATCATCGTTGAGACCATGAAGTGAGCGGCATTGGAGCTGATGTCATGTGTCTCTGGAGGGACGGCTCTCTCTATTGGACTGACAGTTTCTGAAGAAGTGCTACAGTCCTGGAGGTTTTGGGGTTCTGGAGTAGAGGATACTTGGATGACCTCAGGTGGGTTATGGTCCTGCACCAGACTCACAAGGTCTAACGAAGAGATGGAGTCCAGGGAGGAGGGAAGATCCACTGGACTGTCCTGCTCAGGAGAAGTAGGGGCCACAGCACAGGTCTGAACCAGATCCTCAGAGAAAAGATCCTCAAGGACAGGAACCTCTGGGATTGTCTCCACTTGGATTGTCTCCTCTTGGATTGTCTCTTCTGGGATTGTCTCCACTTGGATTGTCTCCTCTCTGATTGTCTCCACTTGGATTGTCTCCTCTCTGATTGTCTCCTCTGGGATTGTCTCCACTTGGATTGTCTCCACTTGGATTGTCTCCTCTCTGATTGTCTCCACTTGGATTGTCTCTTCTGGGATTGTCTCCTCTGGGATTGTCTCCTCTCTGATTGTCTCCACTTGGATTGTCTCCTCTCTGATTGCCTCCACTTGGATTGTCTCTTCTGGGACTGTCTCCACTTGGATTGTCTCCCCTGAGATTGTCTCCTCTGGGATTGTCTCTACTTGGATTGTCTCCACTTGGATTGTCTCCACTTGGATTGTCTCCTCTCTGATTGTCTCCTCTGGGATTGTCTCCACTTGGATTTTCTCCTCTGTGATTGTCCCCTCTGGGATTGTCTCCTCTGGGATTGTCTCCCATAGGATTGCCTCCTCTGGGATTGTCTCCTGTAGGATTGTCTCCACTTGGATTGTCTCCTCAGGGACAAGATTCTTAGGAACATTTATCTCTTTGATTGATTCCTCTATGATTGGCTTTTCTTTGATTGGCTCCTCAGAGACAGTCTCCTCTAAGAAGGGTTTCTCTGGGATGGGCTCCTGGAGGGCCGGTGGGGAACTCTCACTCTGGGATGTATGTGTGTCTTTCTGAGCTGATGCGACGGTAGCTTTAAACGCCTGCCTGGCCTGGAGCTTCTCTGTCTCTCGCAGTTTGAAGACCCTCTGCTGGAAGAGGAGCTCCTTAGAGGGGGGCAGCTGAGGGTTGTCCAGCTCCATCTGCTCTTTGAACCCCATCATGTGCAACATTGCCTCTGCTGCCTGGAGCTTGGCCGCCTTCTTGTTTGGACCCAGTCCCTGACATGTCCTCTGGTCCACTCTGACCTCCATGCAGAACTCTGATGCATGGTAGCCACGGTGTTGGATGCCAACCACCTTGTACTCAGCTGGCCTCTGCTTCCTCACCATCAGGATCTCTGCCAGGGCACTGATGGGGCCTTTCTTATAGAAGAAGTAAACCCGCTGTGAGGGGTCCACCAGCTCCATGCGGGGTTTGGACCAGTAGGGGGTCACGTCCTCTGGCAAAGGACGCTTCCTCAGCTGATGCAACACCACCTTAGCTGCACTTAGCTTGGCCTTTTGTTTGGTGGTACCTGAACCATACCCCACCAGGTCCCCCACTGCCAGCTCTATGTGAAAGGTCTGTGCATGGCTCGGGCCCTGTTTATCCATCTCAGTGAACTGCAGCTGCAGCTGGTGCAGACATGCCAGTTCATGAAGGAGGGACAGGTCCGTCTTGTGAACTTCACTGGGGTGTTCACGGTGCATGTTGTCTGTGTTGTATTTGCTTTTGTGCTATAATGTGGTAAATTAATACTCTGTTGTAGGAAAGGGTCGCTGTGTCTCTGTGGACATATGTTTTCTCAGCCTGTATTCAGCCTATCATTTGAACTTTGAAAGCCAACATTCTAGAATGAAAATACAAAGACAAGCTAGGTTGCCATGACAACACGGCAACCGTTGTCACGCATGCGCACAGAGCCAATAATGCAAAGTTGAGGAGTGACTTCTCTTTGAAAATGTCACAAATTCTCACATTGTAAACCGCTTTGTGAATCTGGTTTGTGAAAGGCATTATATAAATAAAGGCAATATATAAATAAAGATGACTGACTTACTTAAGATTACTTGCTCAAATCATTAAAGACAAAACAAGGACTAAAACAAGGATTTCTATCTTTACAATACAATTACAATACAATTTATTCTTGTATAGCCCTAAATCACAACAGAAGTCATCTCAGAGGACTTAACAAAACCATTGAAATCACCAACACAGATCAGAAAATCAACAGTTAAAACACATGAAGAATATAGAAAAAATGTCCATACATGTTGTAGAATGTTAAAGTGTCCTGGATCATCACCACAGTCCTTCTAGTTGGACACTAACTGCCCAACAGACATGATATGTGTTTGAATACTGAAGAAAGACGAACAATTGTAGATTTTTATGGAATAAAGCTTGAGTACCTAGCTGTAAAACCACAGGCAATGTGTTATGTTCATGTGACATCACAACATTCCAAAGAGCACGAGCAGATTAGCGCGGACAAGAACGAGCAGAGTTTATTAGATAAACATGTGCATTTGTAGATAACTGACTTGTATTTATTGTTGTTTAGTTTGTAACAGTTGTGTTTTCATGTCAATATGTTTGATTTGTGTTATTGAAGGTATTGTTTGTAAATATTTTACCGTGTTATGTTTTATCTGATTGTGTTGTGTGTAATTTTATTCCCTTCAGGAGCACACATAACAGCTGTCCAGGGACTACAGTTGGAAAATAGCCCATAGAGAATAATGTAAAAAAAAAAAAAATCAAAATTTACATTTCCAACAGAAATTGACACTTTGTCTGACATTTAATCAGGTAAGCGTTCACCAAAATATTGGTCAAGTAATATTGCACTTCAGTGATGCTACTGGTCAGTTCCACTCTGAGAAGCAGAGAAGACTTTTGAAGACTGGAATCAGATTAGTGTGGGGTTCTGGCGGTGGGTGTCACAGAGGGGCACCCATGGGTGCCCGGTGTCATTTTCATCCTAATGGCCTCATTTCTGTGGACATCATTTTAATCTGCAGTCATTCAGCAGTGACTTGGTGAAATGGAAACTTGTACCGATGAGAAGAGTGGAGGGCAGTCCACACCTGCTGACACTCGAGTGTTTATCTAACAAACAGTAAACACAGATTTATGTCAACAATGTTTAACATTGAGCTGAGAGAGAAACTGTAAAAAAATATACGCAAATATCCACAAATATATACAAATATCCACAAATATACCAAATATACAGATGCACAAATACATGGGGACGTTATGGGTATCAATGACGAGGCAAGAGTAACAAACAAGAAAACACGGCCCACATCACGTCCTCCCAATGGAGGACACTTCAGTACAGTACAGTAGAGTACAGAACACTTCAGTACAGTACAGTACAGTACAGTACAGTACTGTACACTTCAGCACAGTACAGTACAGTACAGTACAGTACAGCAGGACTTCTTCATCAGAAGGATTCAAGTGAACCCACACAGTCTCATTTAAGCTTCATTAGAGATTCATAAAGAGCCTTTGCAGCTTTCTTTGTCAAAGTAGGTGTTAATAAAACTTACTTGAAAGTAAATACTATAACAGAGAAGGACACAGTTCAGGAAGTGTCTGTTTGAGTTTGTTGTAATTGAATAACCATAAATAAGACAACAATTATATTAAGGTTAATAATCTGAACATGTATCTAAGTTTGATTTCAATCCATTGAACATTAAAATATTTTACCAGGATCAAGAGCTGCTGACAATCTTTGAAAGATGAGGGCTCTCCAACTCATCGATGAGAGCACAGGTCCAGCCTGATGAGCCCCTGACGTCATCACTGGACACATGTTTGACCAACGCAGCACAAACACACACACTCAAACACACACACCAAGACTCAGTGATGGCCGCGGACCATACTGTGCATATTCTGGTCACACTAAAGTCATGTATTCAGACCTGCAGTCTGCTCACACACTCAAAGCTACAGCTACAGCTACAGCTGCAGCTGTATGGATGCCATTTCCGCGTTGGCAGCACACCTTCTGAAGTCAGGAAGTGCCTGCGGGGTGCGAAGGTGTTATGCTTGTGAGTGATTTGTGTGCGTTTGAGCTTGTGTTTTTGTTCCACTTCATACTGTTTGTTATTTATTTATCTATTCAATTTCCTGTGGCCTGTACATTACATTTTGTGTGTGTGTTTTTATGCCCTATGCTGCCCCTAGTGGGATAAATGAAGCAGTCTGTATCCGAATATTCACAACCTTAACTGTTCAGGATCAGGAGAAGCCTCAAATCTCCTTTGGCATCTTGCTTAGCTCTTCTAACCAGCATATGGTGAGAAACATGTCTTTGCTCCTCTCATATTAATGTATTCCACCGCACTTTATTATTAGAACAAACATTATCATAATTCTCACTTGGCTGCTGTCCAGTCATCTCTCAGATTGAGGCTGATGGCAACTTGGCCAGGCACAGTGTCCAGCCCTGACCTGTCTTTGCAATGGCATCTTACAGCCGTGGTTCTTATGAGCTAGAATCACAGTAAACAAAAACAAGAAATGGATACAGCAAAAGAGAAGAAAAATCTGGATGTATATTGTACATGCAGGGCCTAACATAGGACTTTAATTAAGTGTGATGAGTAGTTCATTAGCAAACACAGATAAGTACCAGTACCATTAGAAATCTATTCATCAAAATCTATTTGAGGCTTTTCTAGCCAGCCTGTCCGATACTGTATACTGTATTTTTGGCATTTCAAAAAAGTGAAATCCAACCTTTTTTCAAGATGCGGGATACAGCATATATTTTCTTTCCAAATGAACTCTTCAGTTGTACTCAGTAGGAGCGGGTGTCTCTCAGAACATGTAGAAACGATACATATGCAGAACAAGATATAATACGTTATTAGATACAGGGAACTTTCCACTTTCATACAATTCAATGATACATTTATAAAAAATTAAATATGGTTTAGTAAAACAAAACAAAAAGGGCTTTTGTCCTTGCCCAATTTTGACAAAATTGGAATAGTCATATTTCAGTTATTTAAGATATTAAATCAATACATACTAAGTATATTGAATCAATATCACTATTTACAAATATTTATTTTCTATTTACATACTGTACAAACAATATTGTCAATTGTTCAGTCCCTGCTGCTCCCGCAGCAGGGACTGTCAATTGTTCAGTCCCAGCTGCTCCCGCTCATACGATGTTAATTGCACAGCTCCATGCAGGGTTAAGGATTTCCAAACCCCGCATGTATTGACTGTATAGACAGTTTTACCTCCGGCCATGATAGGTGTCAGTGGACACCACTTTAATTATGTGTAATCACATTCAGACAACATGGCAGAATCAATACCAACTTAACATTGAGGCCAGTTCTTTGTCCAGTGGCCATTGCACGCGGGGGCAACCAGCCGCTCCAGGGCAAACTTTGTTGTTTGACTGCTACACATGTGAGAGCAGTTGCAGAGAGCGATGTGGCACAGGCATTGTAAGTGGTCCATGTTTCTGTAATGAGCCTCCTCGCTGCATGTCCTAATGGGTTCTCTATAGACATACTGTATATTACATGAGGGGAAACCGGGTCGAACAAAAGCACTTCCCATGGAGCCCATTCTGTAGATCAGGGGTCTCAAATTGGTTCAAAAACGCATATAAAACTCTACCCGTTTCCTCAAGATTCCAGGTTCAGACTGGACTTACTTGAGGAAATGGATGGAGTCTGGTGTGCTCCTGCTTGGTTAGGAATAAAATCCGAAGCCACACTGACCCTTTGAGGACCAGTTTGACACCGCTGCTCTGGATCCATTAACCAGTGTAGCTAGTTTATACTGAACACTAGCATTATTGTGTGATGGTGGATTGGAACAGTTCACCAAGGGGTTGTTTCAGAAACCCCACTTACTTTACGTGGTTGCTTTTCCAAACCAGGCTCAGTTTGAGTCCTACTTAGTCCCAATGGCTGGAACCGGATAGCCCAGATTATAGCCACTAGCCTCTACCTCCACTACTTTTGGGGCCAAGTGGGGGTCAACTATAGGAGCGCTATAGACGGATCGAGGAATAAGCTTCAGCCGTGTTTGGACAATCGGACCAACCCTGACCACTCGCAGGAACACGGGGGGACGTCACATGACAAAAGCGGCTCTGTACCGCTTATGTAAATTCTAAGAACAGTAGCCACACACTTCATTGGCGTACACATCTTCTGCATAAAGGCATGGCTAAATTTGGTGCATGAGGTACTCAACTGTAGCAATACTAGAATTAGCAGTCTCACACAAATATATGCATGTATCTCTGTTGTAAATATTATCCCACACTAGCACGATTGCAACACTGGTTAGATGCTAAACTGCATTTTGTTGCATTGTCAAACAAGTTTTGATTTTATGTGGTTCATAACAATATAATTAGGAGTTTCAGATTATATATTCGATACCAAATGATTAAATATCAGAAGGAAAACATCTCTTTGACCTCTGAAAATTTTGAAACCCTGTCCTACCAAGAAAAAATGAGCAGTGTCTCTTAGATTTTTATATATGTGTACATTTCTTTTAATTTGTTGCTATTTTTGGTTCTATGTTTTTGTTTGTTGTACAGCTTGTTTATAAAATGGATGGGATTGGAACAAGAAATATTGAATTGTTGCAGTTTAAAATGTAGTTTGTGTATGTTTGTGTATGATTTGAACAAACTATTTCACTGTGCTTCAGACACATGTAACAGTCCAATAATTCAGTCGAGTATCCAACCAAGGACTACTGGACAGCGCATTTTAATCTGTCAACATGTCAACGGCAGAGAAGGAAAAGAAATGAGATGAGAGGGGGGTGAGGTTTTGAGGGACACACACAGATGACACCCAATGACACCCAACAGTAGGTGTGTGTTTGCCTGTCCGAGTGGGTGCACCTGGGCCAAGCACCCACAAAGGGGGTGTCAATCCATCACTGTCCACTTGAGGGACTCCACTACTGGCCTCTCTATCCCAACTGACACCCCGACACAGCTCATTGGATCAGACAGCTGTGCTCCAGGGACAAGTCCAAAAATACTGCAAGATACTGTACTTCATCGTTTGGGTTCGTTTGAATGTGTTTTGACAATCCCCATGTCAAGAGGGTAGTGCAATCTTGCCATGTGTCGCTGTATGTGGGCTACATCCAGGGTCTTGCCATATTTTTGCTTTGATCACATGTATGCCAATATTATTTAACAGATATTATAATGAATGTAAAAGGTAGTACAAGTACACATGTTGGTAACTTATGCACATTAGACCATGGACATTTAACACCACAACATTTTTTGAAAACAGCTACAAAAATAAATAACATGCATTGTGATGTCCAAAGAAACATTTCCAGCAGTTAAGTGGATACACAAAAGCATCCTCTATATTCTTGCAGTGTTCCCCAACCTTTTCGAACCATGGCACAGCATTTTCTTTGAGGACCATCACCAGCTGAAACTGAAACAACCCTGCAGCGTTTATTTACTATATAAAGTAAATCCTCATCGAAGAATATTAAATAGAAAATCAAACAAGATAAACAAGGTTTTTTCGAATCTTCTCAAATATTTGTGTTCACATGTTTTTACCAAGTAGGGGATATTGGGTGATTTCCAAAGGCACACCAAACAACATCTCAAGGCACACTGGTTAAAAAAAACATTGGTTTATTATACTGTGTTGTACTGTTGTTGTTTCAAGCTAGCCTGACCAGCCCCAACCACATGATTTTACAATATTCATTACTAAATACACGAGGGTCACCAATTTCTGAGCCATCTTTGGTCGTATTTGATTGTACAACTAAAGAATCAACCATACCGCACCTATAAACAACACAATTAGTCAACCACCAACTTGAAATATCTGCACGACTGCATCTGAATTGAGCAAGAATAGTTCAAAGTCCGAAAAAAAGATTCCAAAAAAACTTGCTGTAAAAGTGCACCCAGAACCCCAGGGAAGAAGGCACGCTTATCATCCAATATGAATATTTTCAATCACATTTTCTTATGGGGTCATCTTCATAAAGGAAAAAAACAGCATTTGCAACAGCCTTTACTTTGATGGTTGTAGTCAATTATAGTCACTTATTTTATAACATTTACCTATGGATCTATAATAATAACTGGATAGGGTATTACTAGCTTAAAGCTGTTCCACCCATGGGCACAGGGGGCGCCCGTGCTACTGCAGACTAAATTCATTCGGGCTACCCAGAAAAAAGTTCCTTAGAACTCAATGTAAATTAAAACAGCTTGAGCTCAGCTGAAAGCTTTCACAAAGATCGGATTTTGTGGGAATTTTTGTGTCCCTTGTCATCCTGAACTTTTGTTCTTCTTAAATCCTTCAGTTTTCTTTAAATCCACACTTTACTGCCACAAACTCTGCTGCTTTCCTTCCCGCTCTGACTCCGCTCTGCTGCTGCTCTGATGAGCAGCGCTGATTGGTCAGAGCGCGGCCGAGCCTCTCTGTGCGCGTGCATAAACGCCACACACGCGTATTTAGCGCAACGCTTCATGGGAGCTCGTCCACTGCGCAGAACCGGGAGGACCAGACGATGCCCAAATATAGGTGAGTTCAGCTAATCTCCCGGTCCCCGTGAAGTCCCATGCGCTACTGAGCACAAGCCATTCATTTGAATAGGGCGCCATCTTGGATCACTGGGGCTTGCGTTTACCTGACACATGTCTAAGCAATGGGCTATACCTTATAATTCTATAATCTATTCCACTATATTTGGTCGGAGTTTCCACTGTGTCTAGTGAAGAGACGGCCCATGTTTTTCGCTCAGTGACCCTTATGTTTTATTTGTTGCAAAAAAAAACAAAAAACATTGGTCTCTCTTTGTTGCTGGGTCTCATCTATAACACAAACAAGTGATTAAGTTAGCACCGCATCTGGGGGCGCCCCGAATAGACAGGCGAGTTGAGTGGAGAGGCGCCGATAAGAACAAATGCAAATATACAGCAAAAGTGACAGATTAACCTTGTACAAGGGCGTGCATTAGCGGCGCGGGCAGGCGGGGAGCACTTACGGAGGTAATACACTCAAAGACAAAGCAGACTTTAAACAGAGGAGCGTGGAGTCTCATACGTTTCGACGGGGTAGACTTATGGACCCACTGTTGCGGATTTAAGAAGCACACACCACACTGATGATTAATTATTCAACAGTCAACGTGTAATGTGTATAGGTCACGCAGTAAATGCATTTCTAAGAGTAGCTTTAAACTGTGTTAAAGCTCTGGAGCAGTTAGCATCATCGCGAAAAAATAAATAGAAGCAAAACGCAAGGAAGTGTATGAGCTGTGTATTTCTGCGTTTTAGTCTGGGGCAGTGCAGTGGGTCAGCTCTCGCATTTAAAATTGCAAGAGGGCAGAATTTGGAAAACAGTCTCATGGGGAGTGACATTTAACAGAAGAGTTTAGCATGACCTACAGGATGTCTGGAGTGTCCACACTGGTAATCTCTTCTGTGGACAGTAGTGAACAAGTTTGACACTTTCTAATCTCATAATACAAGACTGAAGCAAAGTCCTATTAGTAAGTGGCTTGTTTAGTTTTAAATTTAAACTGGATGGACAATGCTAACCCTCTAGAGCAATGAAGGCTGCCCGGGCTGTTGCAGAAGAGTAAACTTCTGTTAAATTCCATATTTTCATCATAATTGTATTAACAAAAAGTGATTGATCTATAGGTTGTGTTTAAGTTATCAAATGTATACTTACTTCTTCATTATTCTAAAGTTATCAAATGTATACTTACTTCCTTATCATGCTAAAGTCAGAGATTGTATACTTAATTTTTGCTTCTACATTATGCTACCCTGGCCTACCGTAAACTCCGGTCAATTATAATTTCCCTGGATGTACCGCCTGGTCTTGTCCCAGTGTCTGCATTTACATCGGTTATATCCTCTCCGACCATTCAGCGAGCAAGGGAGGCGGGTGTTGTCGGTAGCTGTCGGTGACGACAAGAGTTTGCGCCGGATTGGGCGGTTATAGTTTGGCAATGGCGGTGAATCTGACAGTAAAGTAATCCGTTCTGATTCAATTAAGAAATTGAAGCCGGAGAAAGAGGAATGTTTAACAAATGTAATTGCTGGCAAAGATTTTGTGGCGCTACTCCCCACGGGCTCTGTTAGTGGCAAAGATGATGGCGATTCACTCTGACGCATTACATACATCACGGTAAACTCAGATCCAATCGTTTCAATCTGCAAAAGGAGTTAACCCCTCCCACCTGTTATTGGAGCTCAATGGAACAAATCCAGACCATAGTACAAAATGTAATTTGTACTATGGTGTGGTAAGACTAAGTATTGGCGAATATTATGCTAAATTTGGTAAGCTAAAGCCAGAGTTTTAGTATGAGGTTATAGCTTACCTATCTTTTGCTGTGGGCTCCTCATACCAACTGATCTATAACCGGTGATGCAGAAGAAATTTTTCCCCTCCTTGAGATAAATAAAAGATCTCTTAATCTCATTACATTGATAATCGCGTGTAGTCTCAGAGTTAGGTGATCCTGCTTTAACACGATGCTGCTTTCCGTAAAAACACAATCATCCGTTGTACAGTGACCTGTAACAACATTGCGCATATTAATTCCCTATTTTGACTCAAGGAACCAGCCAATTTCTGCTTTTCTGTTCTTCAGTCCCATTAGCCAACAGCACTCTTTAACAAGGTACATGGCACCTCTCCCCCTGCCTTTTTGTAATGACTGAAGTCCAAGCAGCGGGCGGTATGTCTTTTAGCCAGATCCCGCCACATTACACACTGATTACTTGGCTGGGCGGATGACAGCCGGGGAACGCGCTGTAGCCAACACTGCCGATGAACGATAAGGGCTTGTGCCTGCCCGCGGTCTTGACGTCACTTGCCGGGAGACGGTATCTAGGAGGCAGGTAAAAATAGTGCGCCATGGAGACATCAGGTTGAGATGTGCTGAGCAGATGGAGAGGGAAAAAGAAAAAAAAAATCAGTGAATAGCAATGAAGCTGGTGGATTTGGCCCGGGTGGCTCTGTACAGTACTGGATTTGTCATGTTGCTCGCTTGCTTCGAGGGCCTTGGAATATGAAAAAGCCTGTGCTGCTGATGCTGCTGATGATGCTACTGCTGCTGCTTGGAGGGAATGAGCAATGGGAGAAGATAGTGAAAACCGATATCATGATATTATGGGATTCGAATCATGTTGTTTGCAGCTACACACAGTACACACATTATATAAAGTACATTTTATATTTTCTCTTTTATAATTACAACAAACTTAATCACTGTTCATGGTTGTTGTGAGAAATCCGATGTGAAAAAGGTTGAGCCCCGATATGTCACAATACAGGGCAACTAAAACTAAAACCAACAGAAAAGAATAAATTGATAAGATGAGAGAAAATTTTTTATGGTCAGGTCAATGCATATTGTGGTAAATTATTATGTTGACTATCCACCCTGTGCGAAATTTAGCACTTTTAGACGATGTATTGCGTATATTGTCATGAGAAATATATAGATAAAGAAAGTGCTATGGATTCAGTTGCCTTATATAAAAGAAAGGAAGTTGTGATTTGGGTGGACAACATTTCTATTGGTAAAACAATGGTGTGATTTTTAAGACGTTTGTGCACTAATTTCAAATAACACAGCGGGGACAGAGAAGACATTTATTTCTAATGGATTTCGTGCTGGGAGCCCACTGACTCCATCTCTGGTGTGACTGAGTTGGGAGTGTGCAGTGAAATACAATTGTTGCCAAACTTTGCAGTGGTCTGTCCTGGTCTTATGGTAAATAACCCAAGGATTAGTCATTGTAAGCCTCCGTGGCATTGGGGAAAAAAACAACTGCAGTAGAACATTCAACCCCAACCCTCTATGTTCTGCATTGCATAAAATTTGGCACTCTGCAAAACATCATGTGATGAGGATGCATCTAGCAAGCCAGGTTTGAGATAAGAGCTTTGAGACCAAAACGCATTGAGTATTTTAGCGTAGATGGAGTATAAAACAACTCCAGTCAAAAACCTCTGTGTTTTTGTCTCTTGAAAATGCCCATGTTTGTCTCATAGTCGATCAGTAGCAGCCCCCTTGCAGCTCATAGCACTAGATGTCTGCGCAAGACTGGCAGTCAAAGGAGCTTATCAAGGACATGATTGGTCACTTATCATCGTTCACGGCTGGATTTCAAAAGGCAGCATTGAAATAAAACACACAAGATGAGGTTCCTTTGGTATTCCAGACCCTGGAGCTCTCAGACGGTCGACACTTGCTGCAGCTATTCATTGGATGACAGCTCTGGTTTGTGGCTTTTAGCCTCTGACCAGTTAGCCACCTCTGGTCTAGAACCCCCGGAAAACCCCAGTGGACTCAAGTTCATCAGACTCAAGTCTCTGTCTCAGTCCTGGACTCATCAACAATTCAATTCAGTTCAATTCAATTACATCTATTCTTGTATAGCCATAAATAACAACAGTAGTTACTGTATCTCAAAGTACTTAACAACACTGTTGAATTTGTCATCACACATCAGAGTATCATAAGAAACAAGAAACAACACATAGAGCCATTGGTCCATAAGGGGCAGATGACCAATGTCTATAAATGATGATAACTGTCCATAAATGTTACTGCATGTTGAGTGTCCTGGATCATCACCACTGTCCGTTTAGTTAGACTCAGACAAGGGTCCAACATTCCCTTCCGCACCGGCAAGGAATAACTCTAAAACCCAGTGGTAAAAGGTAAAATCCCTCTTTCAGACCGGCTATGGATCCAGGAATCAGGCTAAACCCGTTTTGGATTAGAGTTTGTAAAGAATATTATCAGTACCATGGACAGCCAATGTAATCGCAGGCGGATTCATTCATTCCAGGGGAGAAGCCAAAACACATAACAGCAGAACATGTTAAATATTGTGTAAACAAGGGGGATGAAAATCAAATATTGAGCATGTTTCCTTGATAAATCTGTCAAACCACATCTCTCGCACACAACACTTCAAAAGCTGGCACACCATTAGCCATCCGAACATGTTTTCTCTGAGTCAGGCCTTTTTCGCGCCAGGCCCACCGCGTAGACCCTTAGAACCAATTAGAGCACATTCCTCCGCTTGCACTTCTTAGATCACTCGGCTCCAATTTTCTTTGAATAGACACCAGCCTAATGGGCCATAATGAAGGAAAACACATTTTTCCTGTGATACACCGCACAGCCTAAAGATTCTACTTGGTGCATATACGGAGAAAGCTCTACGTGAAAGTCATGGTAATAAGCACAAAACAACAGCATGGCTTTATCAGGGTGTAGCTTTGGTGTGGGGCTAATCTTGCATTTAATATAGAGAAAATACAGAAAAAAAACATTTCCATGACACCAAATCTCACAGTGGAATTGGTTTCTTATATGAACAAAAACAAATAAAGACAATGCAAGAATACTACTTACTCTAACTCTCAACCAAGGCTCTGCACTACGACTATCAACGTTCTGCATATAGAGGAACAGTACAAACCCACTGCCTCAATTAATCTCAATAGGGAGGTGCTCATGGACAAAGTTTTGCTTCAACTTGCCCCTATTGTATACATTACATTGATTACTGAACTCCTAGTTCTGTAACTGTTAGTTATCATTTTGTACTTTATACATGCAAGTTCTCTATGATCCTGGTGTTTTTAGTTTGTTATCGTCTATGATATCTTTAAATCTAGATATGAACCATACAGATTGACCAATCACATGCCCTCATTTGAAGGGAATCTCCATATTGCCTTAGCAACACATCAGTTTTGCATCTGTTAGAGCGCAAGGCTAACCCCATCATCCCAAATATCTATATAAGTAAATGGCACCAGCAAGATTATGGTCAAATAGCTTCTTCTACTCTTTTATTGAGTTTCCAAAAGAGGAATAAACCATTTCTATAATTTCAGAATACCTTATTTCAAAAGACTATTGTGACTACCACAACACAGTGGTGATGGTGTTAGAACATGTACACACGCTTAGAACAGCCCTGCAGCATGCCATAAACAACACAAAAGAGAAAATAAATCATAATTGGGATGACAAGGACCGACAACAACCAGTCTGTCTGCTTTAATGGATGTGAGCGGCTTTTGGAGAGAGCTGCTAATGGGTAAACATGACGGGATGATTAATTTATTAATACTTAAAAAACTAAATTGTGTTGTGTCTGCTCCAGAGTCAGGGCACAGCTAAAAGGTACTTCCTGCTGCTTCGTTGCCGTGGGGCTTACGTCACGTCAATTGGAGCCTGCGGCGATGGCAGCCGCTCAGAAAAGTCAACGCTAAGAACTGATGACAAGCAATTATTTACTGCTAGAGGGACTGGAGCTATTAGAATAGTGAGGCCACCATGTTTCGCGGAGACATTCCCAGCATTGCATTTTACTCGACTAATCCTGTAAAGCCGTCAAAGATAACCTTTTGAACTCCATGTTGTATGCATGGGTATGAAAAGCTTTTAGTTATGAAGGAAGTTTGATTGATGGATTGTGTATGCCAAGACAGAACACAAACCGACATCTGAATATTGACAAGGACAGGTTTGATGCGTTTTGCAGAATGTTTTCAGCACCTTGGACAGTGACAAAAGTTGGTGGAGTATTTAACCTTTTTTACCTTATGTATCTTTATCTGCGATTGGCTAATATGATTTCTCAGGTCACCCGATTTGTCTAAATTAAATGCTTAATTGAGTTAATTGTTATGTTGTCTTCATTCTGTAGCAATGTCCAGTCTGGGGATTTAAAACATAAGTGAATTTATTTCTATGTGAAACTATAGAATTCAGACTCATTACATAGAAAGTCACATGTACCAAGCCATTGTTTGTTGTAATTTTGATGATTATATCCTGCAGTTCATTTTAGATTCTAAAACATTCTAGACTCCTCCAGCTGCAGGAAACAGAAAGTAACCAATGTTCAGCATCTGGGGACTCATTGCTCAGTTTTTATCCAGGATTTGGTCCTACATTGTGTGAGCATCAGTTTAATGATGAACTCGTAAACCGGACTACACGTCTCAAAACAGGGAGAACATGCAAGCTACACAATAAAAGTCCTCAACTACACGGATTTGAACTTAGGACCCGTTTGTTTTTAAGAAATGCACAATACAGACTCTGCAAGCATGAGTTTTACACTGAATAGTAATTGTTTCTTGCTTTGTTTATTACGGTTTGGTGGACAGAGACACACACCAACCTTTACATTGTATTTGAAGTTACTTTTGCAAAACAGGATCAGTTTATAATAGATACCTCAGTGGCTCTGCGTCTGAGCATTTTAAACATGCCGGTGTTATGACCTGCTGTGTAGGTGTGTAATTATATGACTGGATGAGAAGTGCTTGAGATAGCGCCGTGGACAATATTATTCTCACAGCAGCCCCCAGGGCGGCTACAACAGCGCACCGGGAAAGGTTACCGCTGCAAGGGTGTGTATTGAAATTCAAGTCCACTTCACCTAAAGCCCAAGAGTGGCTGTCTGAAGATTAATGAGCTATTTGGGGAGAGTTCAGCTCTTTCACATGCACAGGCTCCACATTAGTGATGTAATTAATTTGACTACACAAGGGGTGTTGTCACCTTTCCGCAGCGTGCAGTGCGTCTATGAGAAACCAATCCATAATTAAATAACCTGGGAAAAATGTTCAAAAGTGCGAAATTCGAAGGCAACATCAGACATAATGGATTACAATTATCTTGAGATTTTCAGTTTCAGTTCGGTTTCATGTATTAGTTCATCTCTCAAGGGAGAAATGTGTCTTGGAGCAGGGGGATCAGTAGCACTACGTATGCAAACAAAAGAAACATAGGACACACAGAAGACCAGACATAGTATAGATAGGTGGACACAGGCGGCACAATGGCTGAGTGGATAGCACTCTCGCCTCTCTGCAA